CAGAAAGAAATTGCCTTCCTTGGGGATGAAGTTTCTCTCTCTCTTTCTTTCTTACTATCTCCTTTTCTCTTTTACTTGTCTTACCTTCTACTTCCTACGAAATACACGTAAGGTTTATGATTATAACCATTGAGTATGAAGACTCTATCTTTGCTTGACCAGGTCGATGGCGAACCGTAAGCATCGACCTTCTCGTGACGTTATTAAGCTGACCAATATACGATCCTACCGCTTGCTATACACTTTATCCACATACACACACACACACACAAATCGTTATACGTGTATTGTATAGACTGTGGAAGTGGAAAAACGAAAGGCTGAAAAAGGGAGAACTAGATAGTAGATAGATGAAGGGAAAGGGAGAGTAAGAGAGGGAGAGAGGAGAAAGAGGAAGCAGAGAAAAACTCATAAGCTGGATTGGCAAACTTGTCAGTGAGCGGTCAATTGCACCTTGCCATCGAGCTAGCTATCTATCTATCTATCTATCTCTCTCTCTCTCTCTTTCTCTTTCACTTTCCTACTCTTTTCCCTTTTTCGAGTGACAGAATTGCGAGCGTTGGCCATTCTAGAAAATATCATATTTCCGAGTTAAACCTACTGTCATTTCTATTCTCTATATCATCGACTCTGCGTAATGATGTTGTCGAGATACAATAGGTATTTATTGTAAAATATGTATATCACGTGAAATATGATTTCAACAAATTTTCAAAAAAGTGTTAAATAAAAATGCGAAAATCGACGGGGGAAATAGGATATTAAGTGATACACTATATATGGAAAATATCGATCCTATATACTTGAAAATATCAACATCGTTTAATTCATTTTTCAATAAAAATACGTAAATTTGTATACGCCTATTAATATATTTTTCGTAAATCAATTTGTTTATTTGCAGATTTATTATTTATTTATATAGAGCGAATCGATAGTATCGAGATACAACTCGAAATCATAACAAAATCAATGAATTATTCAAAACGAATTGAATGAATTAAAAAAAAAAAAGAAGGGAGAAGAGAAAGATTAAAAAAAAAAAACAAAAATAAAAAAAAAAAAAAAAAAGAGGAAAACATTCGATCTCCGTCAGATAGTAATAAGATGATAGGTAGACTGTAGTTACTATACGTTTTAACGTGGTCGAGAATTAGGTAAAGCGAATTGTACACGCGTATGCAAGTACGTTAATGCGTCGTTAATCGACAGCTCTCAGTAGAAAGGAGCCTTTGTGCGTTTGCCATGGTTTGCATGAACCCAGAAGCTGTATTGCTACGGCGACGTTTCGTCAGCGACAAAAGGATCGAGTCATAGGGGATATTTCGTCCAAACTCTCGAGTGCTCGGCTGGGCTCTCTGAAACATGCTGTTGTTCTCTACTTTGCTTACGTGTAACCTGTATATATATATATATATATATATGTACGTATGTGTATTATATAAGCGTTTGCTAATACATACACGTGTATATGTGTATATATATATATATATATGTTCTTCCCCTTTCTCTTTACCTGTACACGTATATACAACATGATCTAGTTGAGTATCATTCCCAAACACACATACGTACACTATCATCTTTCAGCAATGATACATAAACGTCGTTTATATTATAGTACCTATCATATAAAATATAATTTTCATTTTCGAATTATATTCTCGTCAACTAATAGGATCTTCATACGAACATATTGCTTTACTAAATTTCGAAAATATATTATATTATATTATATCTCACGTTTCCAGGTCCTTTCTTTCTTTCGTTCGTTCGTTAATTTATCTAGTTAAAGTTTGATCAATAAAATAAAAAGCTATTTATGAATGCATCTTTAATAATACTCTTGTATAATTATTTTTGTTCTCCCATGATAACTATACTTTCTTTTTACCTGTCTTTGACAGTCAAAGTATATTACAAGTTTTGAACAACAATTTAATAACTTTTACAAACCGTGACATTAACTTATAAATTTTCTCTCTCTCTCTCTCTCTATCTCTCTCTTTCTCTTTCTACTTTATTTCAACATTATTTCTTTCTTTTATCTATATTGTAAGTTAGCGTGAAAATACTCTCACTACGATAACCGGAAATACATCCTCTTTAACGCTTCGTCTGCAGACTTTTGTCGAGAGAGTCACGACGACGTGCCTGCGATTAAAGGCACGTTCTCAGTCAGATGTTCGCGTCACGTTCGATAATTTCTTACCGAGAAAGAGAAGAATAAGAAGAAGAAGAAGAAGAAGATCGAGGAAAAGGGGTCGTAACAAAGGCTCGTCGACGTTTAATATCGCGCATCGTTTAAAATCCGGCACATTAATCTTCGGAAATTCGCGAAGATGGCAGAAGAGGCTAGCTCTCTCGTTGGTGGCTCTCAACGAAAGTACATTAGTAAGTACTTGATCCTCGTTGGTACTTTGTAGTCCGTCTTTGGCAAGAGAAAGAAGAAGAAGAAGAAGAAGAACTCCTTGATGCATTTCTTTTTATTGTTTTATTTCCTTTTTTTTTTCTTTCTATATATATATTTATCTAGAACCATAAATAAAGATCAAAGGAGGAATCATCATTCATTCTTTCACGCTTTATGAGAATACATATGTTGTGTCATTTTTCTATCACCTCGATGTAAATTTGATAAAAAAAAAACAGATTTTCTTGTAGTTTTTCTGTTTTCCTTTTTGTGTCTCGAAAACGATGTAATACAAATTTTTTAAAGACCCGTATATGTGTGTGTGTGTAATTTTGTACAAAATACGATGACATTTTCATCATCTTGTACATATATATATATATACTATTCTTCTCTCACCATTTTCCTACGGCCTTTGGCTCTTCCCTTTTGCAGACTACGAAATGGTAGATACGAAGGTGAATACATATATATATATATATATATATATATATATATATATACATATTCATCGCTTCCGTCCTATCTTGATCGTCTCCGTTGCATACAACGTATGATATTCTCCCATAAACGTAGGTAACACCCGATGCTTTCGTAACATTGCTATTCGATTTCAAATGTGGTATCTAGTCATCGTGAGATTTACCATAGAAATGTTCCATCTTTCTCAATTCACTTCCTACACAATTTATCTATGTCCTACCTAGTAGCTTTTTAACACCATTCATATACAGATAAGGGAAACATTTCATCGTTATTAATGATTACGAATTAGCAAGTTTATTCAAAGTCGTTAGACATAACTCCCAGAAGGCATCAGTCATCGTGATAAAAATCATCTTGCAAAAGGGACAACCAAGACGACGACGACGACAACTCAAAGTCTTAGAATTATTTTCACTTCTATAAAATAATAATAATAATAACGTTACCATATTGCGATATGTTGAATATAAAAAAGGAGAAATAAGAGAACAATAAAAAATAAAAAAATAAAAAAAAAAAAGATGCGAAACCTTATATAGTCGACGCGTGCGCTGGAAAAAGGGTCTTGGGACGTTTGTCCTTCGTACCTCACTTCGACCCTTGAAGGTGAAGAGCTCGATACTAGGAGAGGAGAGACCGATGCTTCTTTAAGGAGAGGAAAAATATTCATGCCCGTGGGGACGTATCTAGTGCGAAGAAACGAGAATCTCGCTTTATGTGCATCTTTCCTCCCAACTTCCTCCCAGCTTTCACCCTTTACCTCCTTCTCTTCCTTCATCTTCTTCTTCTTCTTCTTATTCTTCTTCTCGGTTCTCACAATTCCGTTTTACTTTCTATCTTCTTCTTTCAACAACCCCTTTAGCGATTTTCCTTTTTATCGTTCTAATCTCTCTTCCTTTCTTTCTCTTTCATTTTATTTTTTCTTAGATACATATACATACACACACACACACATCCACCAAAGGCTCTTGTTTCTTCATGCAAGAAGAGACGAAGAAGATGACGTCCCTGCTTTGACAGCTTTGCATAAATTACAAAAGGCTTGACAGAAACTACTCGAATTCTTCTTCTTCTTCTTCTTCTTCTTAGCTTGCTGAATAAGAATAAAAGAGAGAAATAGAAAAAGATAGCTGAAGTAATAAGAAAGAAGGAAGTTACGAATGATACGGTGATAGTTTCTCGTGAAAATAGTGAAGGAAAACGAGAAGGAAAAAGCAGAAGAAAGTGAGAGAAGACGTTATAAAAACGTAGAAAGAAAAAAACAAGAAAGAAAGAAAGAGAGAGAGAGAGAGAGAGAGAGAGTATGTGTGTGTGTGAATAGAAAAGGATGAAATGAAGAGAAAGAGTGAGGTCGGAATGAAGGAAGAACAAAAGGAAGCGAATTCGTAAAAAGATTTATCTTATTTGGTGCGCGTAACACCGATGAGAAACTAACTCTATTTTCTCGATAACTTTGTTACTTTCCTTTACGTGCAAAGCGCCTTTGTTTTCTATGAAAGTGTGCGCATTGTCAATAAACGAGAGTCGTCTTTTATTCGTATACACAGAAAAAGAGATAGAGAGAAAGAGAGAGAGAGAAAAGGGGAGAAAAATATCAAGGAAAAAAAAAAAATATCCTACGTCATTTCGCGATACTTTCGCGCTTATTTATCGTAGGTTTTCCTTTGAATCGGGGAAAATCCTATCGAAGGAATTTCAATATTAAATCAAAGGAAAGATCGATATTGTATGTATTTGCATATATATGCATATGTATTTATATTTTTATTTTTATTTTTATTTTTTTTATTTTTATTTTTATTTCTTATATAAATTTGTAATAAATATTACATTTACGTGATATAGACTCGAGAGAGAGAGAGAGAAAGAGAGAGATACGACGTGCTCGTCCTTGTAACATTTTACGTAATATTTTGTCAAAAGGTAGCATCCGTTGGGAATCGAAAACGTTTTTCTAAAGATTTCGATTTGACGTTTGGTATGTAGCACGTGGGGTAAAAGAAGTAGAAGAAGAAGAAGAAGAAGAAGAAGAAGAAGAAGAACTAGGGTGGCTATAATTTTGACCAACAGTCGAAGGAATTCGATCTAGGATATTATTTACCTTTGTCGAGCGACCTGGCCAGGAGAATTGTCGGCAGGATCAAGAAGACCATGTACCACGATAGCCGGTCCCGCATTCTTGCGAGGTTCCGAGTTCTCCTGGGAAAGGAAACATTGAATTTTCATTATTATCTTAAAATTCAGTCTCTATACTTTTTCTTCCTCTTTCTCTATTTTTATCTTTTTTATTTTCTTTTTTAATACAAAGAGAGAGAGAAAGAGAAAGAAAGGAAAACAGAATGATTTTGTAGTTGTGATAAATATAACAGATACATAAATGATTCATAAATATATATATATGTAGGATTGGGTTTAGTGTAGAGGTATTAATTAACTTACACCAAGGTCAATTATACTTAAAATAATATATTTAATATGGGATATTATAACTATGCTTCACAAAAGTTCTTAAGTAATGTGATACATTCCATCTAACAACTGTTTGTACAACTGATAACCGTTATCACACTCGCTCTCAATCAATTGCCTATATCAACTCTTTGTAACCACTTATTCCAACAATAACTCTTTATAACCATTGACCCATAACAACCGATTATCCCCCAATTTATACATTAGTCCTCCACCATGCACCCACTTCCTTTTTCGCATCTTCCAGAACATTCCCGATTGCCCGATCTTCTTCTTCCTTCCGGTTCGGGGATGTCCCAGAAGCCTTGGTGCGATAAACTCACACACGATACCCTATTCTCGGTCATTTCCTATTCCTACATATATATATGATTCATAAATAAGTATTACGATAAAGTGATGAATTTATTACAATACAAACGGCGCTTGTAAAATAATGAAACTATTATGTTTATCTGCGTATTTCTCGTTTCCTGCTATTTTTTACGACTCTTAATTCGATGAATTGTTTTGATATAGAAAATATTAAAAGAAAAGTATATACACGTATGATACGCGTAAAGAGAGATACATTCGTGTATATATATTAAATATATAATATATCTATGTATAGATCGCGAATCGTTTCGTTTCAGGCGATACTTTTAACGAGTTGGAATCGTTTCGCGAATGTTATAATGCATCTTGAATTTCTTTCGTTTAATAAACGTTCGATCTCGCTGTGCTCGCGACCAACAAAGCGTATGAAAAATTACGCTTGAGGGAAAAATGTTTTTTGACAAATATAAAAAAAAAAACAAAAAAAAAAAAAAAACAAAAAAAAGAAAACAAAGAATAACAAAAAAATAGGGAGGAAGGATATAATTTACGTGACATTTTCGCGACAAGCGGGACTTTTCAAAATGTAAAACAATTCAAAATGCTCGAATATCGTGTGTGAGTGAGAGAGAGAGAGAGAAAGAGGAATCGCATAAATCGTAACGCCAGACCCGTTTCGTGTCGGGAGATATTTCCTTGACGATCGAAACTCGCGGATATCACCGAACTTTCCGTCACAATGTTTGTTACATTAAGGAGCTCTCTCTCTCTCTCTCTCTCTCTCTCTCTGGGGTTAAATATTCTTCCGGAAAAACAAAAGAACTTTTATACGAATTCATGTCACAACGTTTTATCATGTTCTCTTTTTAAGTATCAGCGTATTGTTCGTGTATTTACATAGAGCGTGCTATTTTCATTTTTTATATTTTTCCACATAAAATAATTTTTGATTTTAAATAATATTGATTTGAAATAAAAATGCATTGATACGGCTATCGATGTGTAATTTAAAATCAATATTAATGTAATTTCATATTCTACCACTTTCATCCTAGCTATCCCCCTACTTCAAAATTTTGAAAAGCCCTTCCTGTCGCGTTGTGATATATCATTTTAAAGGTATTAAAAATTTGCGTATAACAATATTAAAAATATTGAATATCGTATATATTAACATGTTATTAATACGCGCATACTGAATGTTTTAGTAATGAATTTTGAAAAATTTGGAAATTATTCATTTTGTTAGGAATAAAAAATGACGAACATTCTCTTTCGTGTAAATGAATTGAGATTATCAATGAACAAATAGTATATAATTTTCTTTTGTTTTAACGAATATTAAAATGCATTTTAATATTTAATTAATTACTGCTTTATTAAAAGAATAATCAGTACACGTTTTATTTCTATTATTTTCATTTCTCCTTTATTGCGAGTTATTTTACTCACGTAAAGAGAACGGAAGAGTCAAATCAGGCATTGCTGTATGCACACCAGCGAATCGATGAATTCGTAACGATTAATTCGAGTCCAGTGATACAATATTTGTGATCGTTGTACAGTTGCGTAAAGCGTAATTATTTGTCAAACAACGTGTGCTGAATAATCACGTGTAGAGGGTTGGAAGGAGAGGGAGGAAGAAGGAAGGGGGATGTTAGAGGGATCTTTAAAGGCGTAACAGAAATGTTACGTTAGTTGTTTTTTAAATATCTGTTGCATACAACGCGTTAATTCAGTCTTTAAACGTTTCTGTTGTTAATTACGACATTTAGTTTTAAAAATTTCTCAACGGGGTGCGTAATTAAAATCAAGCATTGACGAGTATATACATTAAACGCATGGAAAATTCTCTTGTTATATATGTTACGAAGAAAATAAAAGCAAAACGAGGAAATATTACATTTTTATTCTATACAATAATTACGATTCATTGTTGAAAATGGTAATTGTTATTGAAAATTTTCATAATTATCACAAAAAATAATCAAATTATAAACAAGAAAGAATAAAAGTAAAAATAAAAAATACGTTTCATTATTAATATAAAATAAATATACCAGCACATGATATTTTCATTACTTTTTTTTTTCCAGAAATTTGGAGTTTTCATAGCAGATAGTAATAATTTTTTTTAATTTACAAGACGAGAGTATACAGGTCAATCGTACCGTAATGAAGTTTTCAATTGACGTGTATACACGTCGAACATAATTAACCGATTAACGGGGTTATGTATTAACGCGAAGAGAAATGTACAATTATTATAGGCGAAAAGTAACAAACGATAAATTGAACCTTCTTCTTTTTTCTTTATATTTCTCTTTATATAAATATTATATTTTTATTTTTTTTTTTTGTTTACATTGAAAAAGTAATGGCACAATCATAGTTTCTTTCACAAATGATCAATAAGATACCATTCTCTGTTATATTGTTCAGTTCATTATTAAAAGAATTTCGTTCTTTTATCGATACTCGAAAGAAACGAAGGAACAAACGAAGTTAAAGTACGAAAGCATCTCTAGTGAACCGATCCAATCGTAAAAATTAACGATTTTTCACATGAAAAAATGCAATGACGAACAAGTAGGAATGATTGTGGTCCGTGAAACGTTCCCTTGAGTGAAATCTTGTTTAATGGAATAATAGATCACTGGTCGGAGCTTAATGCAATGTCAATATTAGAGAATTGAAACAATCAACGGGACCGTCGACCGACCGCGCGTACACGAGGTGTGATTTTCATCGAATCTTTGTGTTCATTTCATTGCTGCGACGTTGAAACAACTCTTGGTTCGTTTGAATATTTTCCAAGGATTTTTTTTTTTCTTTCCTCTTTTTTTTTTTTTTTTGGAATGATTTATCAACTTTTCTATCATTCAGAAATTATTATATTTCAATAATTTTATTTTTTAAGGCAGTGTTAATTCACTTATTCGTTATAAGCTTCTCTATCTTAACAGTTATTCTTCCTCAAACTTTTTATCGTAGGTCGATTTTCCGTGTGAGAAAACACGCCNGTGTGATTTTCATCGAATCTTTGTGTTCATTTCATTGCTGCGACGTTGAAACAACTCTTGGTTCGTTTGAATATTTTCCAAGGATTTTTTTTTTTTTTTCCTCTTTTTTTTTTTTTTTTTTTGGAATGATTACCTAAATTATTTTTATTTTACTTCTTATACAAAAAAAGAGAAAGAGTTAGTATCTTCTCCATTTAAATTCTTCCTCGTTATAAGCTTCTCTATCTTAACAGTTATTCTTCCTCAAACTTTTTATCGTAGGTCGATTTTCCGTGTGAGAAAACACGCCACTCGAACTTTTTTCCGTATTATTATTTTCTCTCTCTCTCTCTCTCTCTCTCTCTCTCTTTATTTCTTTCTTTCTTTCTTTCTTTTTACCCATTGACAACGTTCGAAGAAAGAAATAAATCGTTGCTATATAAGCACGTCTGTTATTTTCTCACGGTGAAATATTTTTTACTTATAGTCGGCAAGTGGTACGTACCGTTTATCTAACGATTTTCAATCACTGTTTGGCAAACATTTGCATTTTACTTCTTTTATATTCTTGCCCTTTTCGCTAATGGAAGGCATTTGCAAATTTCGTTAGAAGAAATACCTTTGATACTTTCATCGTGCTAGTTTCAAACGTCATTTGTATTCTCGACGCTGTAGAGAAAAGGAAAACAAAAAATTAAAATTGAACGAGAAAGAAAAATGATGAACGTAAATGACGGAGAAAAATTGATTAATGATTTAATTTTTTTAACTTTGTCAATCAACAATTCTTATCGAGTTTCGCGGACAAATTTCAACGAACGTATGCGAACTCAAATTATCGCGGTTCATTTCATTTAAAATTTCTTATAATATAATTATTTTTCCTAGACGAGAAAAGAGATACCTTTTTTTTTTTTTTTTTTTAGATGAAAATTAAATCTATTTATTAAGAGTTCGCTCGTAACAGTAGGGACAGTAAGCGTGTCTATGTGTATTAATACATATACAACTACTACTACGTCATCGTTTGTCATGATTTCTTAGGGAGCGCGTCAAAAGTATAAAAAAAAAACCTGAACGAGGATGAGAATGATTAAGGTATGGTTGTCGGAGTTGAAAACTCGGACATTTTTCAATGTGCGCGCGCTTACACCACTCTCTTTTCTCTTTCTTTTTCTCTCTCTTCCTCTCTTTCTCTATTGCTGCTCGAGGTTGGCCGATATTCGAGCGTGCACTTTAAGAGTTTTTAATCAGCAAACTCGCCTATCTCTCTCTTTCTCTCTCTCTCTTTTTCCCTTTCTCCCTTTCTCTTTCCTTCTCTTCGGGAGAGTTTTTAATCGGTCCTTAAAAGTGGGTTTCTACTTAAGCGAACGAGTTCGAATATCAAGAGTACGGAAGCAGGATAAG